TTAGCGCCGGGCCGTGATTTTTCCCATTTTTCCCTAAGCTTATCCCTTTAGACCAAGGATGTCCAAACAATTTAGTAAGAGGGCCATTTTACTAATCCAGGGGCAGACAACACAAATTTTGAAATAAAACTCCAAATGTGGAGTTTTATTACAAAATCACAAATGACTGGACTCCAAATGTCGAAAAGACTTGAGGGCTGGATTCCAAAGGTTCTGAGATTTACGAGGTATAGCTGATGGAGCTGAAGTTGGCTGGATGACACTGTGAAAGTACCTCGATGGTTACTTTGTGGTAACGGTAGAGGACCACATTAAATAACACAAAAGGCCGCATTTAACGGAAGATTAAAAAATGTCAATCTTGTTTGAATTCTGTGTAAGTTACAGAGGGTCAGGGGTGATCAAAACAATAGTAGTATTTACGTACAATGGTAAATATCTTGCAAGGACCCTCCTCCACAGTACTCCATGCAGATCCACAGTTTCGTGTTCCTTGAGGAGAAACAGAACAGAGCGGTTTTAAATAATACTGCGTCATTTACAACAAGGTCACGCGGCTGCAGTGAGTAGGAGAGGAATGAGGCAGTGTGGGCAAAACACACATCGATTCCAGATGTCCGGGTCGCGTCATTAGAAAATCTCCCAGTCACATGTGCATTAATAGGGCTGGGAATGAACAAAAAATGTGACAATTTGATAGATAGGCCACAATTCAATATTACTGCGATTCTTAGTATAATGAGATACAGCAGGTGTTGCGATTCGATTCTGTGATATATTGTGATTCACGTCTCTCATATTCATCAAAGACATGACAAAAATTGAGGAGTTGACTGCTCAACTCGAATGTCACGTTTATTAAGATCTGTACATTAACTGAAGTGCAAAAACGTTATCCTTGAACATTCAGGACACAGGACCTTATTACAGGACAAGACAGATTAAATAGTAATTTCTGCTTCTCAGGAACTACAGGTGTAAAATAGCACAGCTGCTACAACCTGGTACAATGTTTATTATACACTGCGCTGAGATAATAAAATCAAACCATAACACAGACCATCATTATCTTCTGAATAGACGACAAGCACATAACTTAAATCATTCAAATACAATCAGAAAAAGCTTTAATAAACCTTGAACCAGCCCGGCTTTTTTGGACTATGATGTATTTGACTTTGAAATCCCTGTCAGATCTTAATTACCAGAGTAAATATTGAATTAAAAAACGAAATACTTTGCTCTATATCGATTTAATTATGTGCACAAAATACCGCTATACAGAACAGAATTGATTTTTTCCCCACGACTGACGTTAAAGAGCGACTAAACACCAAATCAACTTTTTTCAACTCATAAACTGCATAAATATGTTTATTGTAGTGCTCTCTACATATCCTGGTCATTTTTTTGACATTTTAGTTCAAATTAGATCAAATATCACTTTTGAGCCAAAAACGTCTGTGTGGCGCCCTCGCAACCTTTTTGGTGGTACTACATTTGAATTTGGTTCTGGCCTCTCCATTGACTCTGAAGTTCTCTATGACATCAGTTGTTTTGTGTGACGTCAGTCTGTCTGTGCCAGTGATATAAACCTATTCAACTCTCACACACGCCGCAGCTGCAGTTTGGAGTATTCTGGCGCCATCTAGTGGATTAAAATTACATTACATGAGTAATTCTGAGATTATTGAGTGTGATTAGGTTCAGGTGTGTAGCTTTACAATTATCTTAGTGCGTAATCAAGGGTGGAATGAGACTTTCTGGTCTGTAAACTATTGCTTTAAGCAGTAATGACAACTGTCTGTTTTTTTTAGTGAGACAAGTGAGCTGTCAATCACAGCCCAGACCACTCCCAACTCTAAGCCCCCCTTCTTGTCCCTTGGTCCTCCAGGCAACGCCCTTTTAAAAGAAACTTTTCAAATGTTCATGTGGCCGGAGTAAGGCTGTGCACAGGTGTTTAGTCGCTCTTTAAGTGGTCTATCATGTCATTTATGTATGTGTAAATTGAGTATACATACGCACCGGTGGTAGCTGCCAAAATAGGAGACAATGTTTTTGTGTTTGCACTCCTTCATCATCGTGATCTCCTGCTGTATCGAGGTGATGTCATCTCCTAGACAGAAACACATATGAGCAGCTTAATAAACTACAAATAGCCCTAAATGTTATTCTTAGGTACAATGTTGGAGCTAAAATGTGATTCTCAGCTCAAGAATGTTCCCTATTCCCACAAACGTCCTCATGACAGGTCTTGCAGAGAGTGGGACGTACATTTTAGAAAATTGCAGTTGTTTTCTTGGTATTTGTCACTTGTGCGTCGCATACCTGGGTCCAGTTTGACAATCTTGATGGCTGCCAACGCGGACGTCCGGATGTTACGAGCCTTGAAAAATAAGAAAATTATGCTTTATTTATTTGTTCATTTTAGATTTTTTCAGAATATTGGATTATATTACATTACATAGTGAGAACACAGGCCTTCATAAATACTATGAAGTCTCCAAAGGGGTAAGAGTGTATACACACATTATTTTTGTTATTGTTATTTAAAGTTAGGGTACCTCACTTATTTCTTCATGATAAACACATGTATAATAATAATGCATCAATTTTATACAGCGCTTTTGGACACTTAAAGACACTTTACATGTAATTATTCATTCACTCCATACACAGTGGTGATAAACTACTACTGTAGCTATAGCTGCCCTGGGACACACTGACAGAAGCGAGGCAACCAGTATGTGTCATCAGCTTCTCCAACACAACCACAGTTTGGCACTTCATAGCCGCAGCCGCCCCACTGTGGCACCTGGTGTTCCCAGAGGTCTCCCATCACAGTAATAACCAGGCCCTGCCCTGCTTAGCTTCAGAGGTCTGACAGGATATGGCATTCGCATGCAAGTATGACCTCTCTATGTCCCAGCAGAAATGAAATCTTGCAAAACATACATTCTTTTGCATACTTGTAAGAACAGGCCCTGTGAGTCACAATTTTACACGTTGGGCTAAGACATGTGTACCGATTTTCTTACCGATACATAAAAAAATGTGTGCTTTGAAAGTTAGGTACCTCAGCTTAAATTCGGCTTTGCAATTTCAATGTATAGAGGGCTTGTCCTGAGATGGCTTATATACCTACAGTGTGACCCATATTTTAGTGCAACTCTTCTGAAATCTTAAAACGTGGATAATCAAGATAATTTAGGACTTGGCTTTCATGTTATGGACTCAAACCAAGTGTTTTTGCTGACTATGACAGCGTTTGATGGAAAAAACCTCTCTGGACTTTTGCCACAGATCTCCCAACAAGATAGGAAATCCTGGGCATGAATCCAAATGCTATCTCTCCACAATGGGAGATCTATACTTGGCTCGAGTCTGTTGTCTTCTGTTACTTTTAACCTTCGACTGACTCAAAACACAGACAAATATCCACCAGGCTGTTTTCTGCTGATAACAACTGATAATGTAGCGTCCAGAAACAACCAAGAGGGCAATACATGTCAACACAACGTTTAATCTGCCCGGAAATGGCATGGATACTATGGCACATACGAAACACCAAGGAGAAGTCATTTTACATCCAATCCAATCCACTTCATATACACAGTATAGCACATTTTTTGAACATACTTACAAACAAAAGTGATGCACAATAAAAGACTTAATAAAACAAATCCATAGTAAAACAGTAAAATCATTCAAAATAAAATAAGATAAAACCATATACACATATACGTACACATCTGTGCATATATCATTCTGTATACATATAAACACAACAATAAAATTAAAATAAAATTAAAGGGCCATACAACTCACGCAGTGTTAAAATATTATATTTTGATTAGTAGTAGTCCTCTCTTTTTTACTTTTCTAAACATGTGACAGAGGCCAAACAATACATGAAAAACCAGTGATGGAACCAGATCTATTTTGAGAATGAGGAACAATAGTTTTATGGATATATTACATAGTTCTTTGGCATTTGAAGGTGGCAACCCACTTTAGCCACATACAAAACCAAAAACGATTAATTTTCTTTGCCATTTGCAGTAAAACCACAATGGAATAATTTTGCAAAAGTCCCCAGTGTGCACAAGACAAGTACATAAATCTGTTAAAACCACTCAAAATATGAACATACAAAAACAAGTGTTGTATACGTATTTACTGTTATTACTGCTCTATTTTTATGAATTGAAAATAGAGTTCAAATCAATTCAATTCACCTTTATTACAGGCTCTAGGTCCAATCAAAATAAAAACAAACGGACAGACATAACAAAAATAAACAAACAAACAGTTATGACTTCAAAAGATAGCCATTTTAGCTAGTTAACTCGTAATGCTAACTAGTAATGCTAACTCGTAATGCTAACTAGGAATCCTAAATCGTAATGCTAACTAGTAATCCTAACTCGTAATGCAAACTCGTAATGCTAACTAGGAATCCTAACTCATAATGCTAACTAGTAATGCTAACTTTGGCAGCTCTCTTCAGTCCCTGCTGTGACCCTGATGCTATTGTTGTGTTAGTCACTTTTACAGTTGCTGCTTCCTTCATTCTTCCTGTGTACATCACTCATCCCCATTCATTCTCACCTCTGACGTCACATGTCCACAACAAACTGAACGGCAGCCAATCAGATGCACCGCTCACCTCAAAACAATCACACACTTCCTGTTTTCTTTCCTGTCGCTGCAGCGTGCTTCCTGTCACCAGCCTGATAGCCGCGTCTCCGAAGGCTTGAAATAACACCAGGTTCCATATGTGTGATCGGGGAGGAAGTCTTACTGTACTTTGATCGTGGGCCCAGAATGGACGGACTCTTGTGGACAAAGTGATCCAGGCGTGTTTGCACTCAGAAAAGTCACTCTAACTGATAAACACTGTCAGGCTAACCATGTAGATAGATAGATAGATACTTTACTGATCCCTGTAGGAGAAATTCTGGTGCCCAGTAGCAGCAAAAATAAAAACATTAAAATTAAATCATTCTAAAAGGTTAACAATAGTAATAATCAGCAACAGCCCTTCAGGTCACAGCAGCAGTGGTGGAGCAGCCTCTGGGGGGAGCAGGACGGGTCACAGCAGCAGTGGTGGAGCAGCCTCTGGGGGGAGCAGGACGGGTCACAGCAGCAGAGGTGGAGTAGCCTCTTGGGGGAGCAGGACGGGTCACAGCAGCAGAGGTGGAGTAGCCGCTGGGTGGAGCAGGACGGGTCACAGCAGCAGAGGTGGAGTAGCTCTGGGTGGAGCAGGACGGGTCACAGCAGCAGAGGTGGAGTAGCCTCTTGGGGGAGCAGGACGGGTCACAGCAGCAGAGGTGGAGTAGCCGCTGGGTGGAGCAGGACAGGTCACAGCAGCAGAGGTGGAGTAGCCGCTGGGTGGAGCAGGACGGGTCACAGCAGCAGAGGTGGAGTAGCCTCTGGGTGGAGCAGGACGGGTCACAGCAGCAGAGGTGGAGTAGCCTCTGGGGGGAGCAGGACGGGTCACAGCAGCAGAGGTGGAGTAGCCTCTGGGGGGAGCAGGACGGGTCACAGCAGCAGAGGTGGAGTAGCCTCTGGGGGGAGCAGGACAGGTCACAGCAGCAGAGGTGGAGTAGCCTCTGGGGGGAGCAGGACGGGTCACAGCAGCAGAGGTGGAGTAGCCGCTGGGTGGAGCAGGACGGGTCACAGCAGCAGAGGTGGAGTAGCCGCTGGGTGGAGCAGGACGGGTCACAGCAGCAGAGGTGGAGTAGCCTCTGGGTGGAGCAGGACGGGTCACAGCAGCAGAGGTGGAGTAGCCTCTGGGGGGAGCAGGACGGGTCACAGCAGCAGAGGTGGAGCAGCCTCTGGGTGGAGCAGGACGGGTCACAGCAGCAGAGGTGGAGCAGCAGCTGGGTGGAGCAGGACAGGTCACAAGGTGGAATAGCCGCTTGGTTCAGACCATTTTCTCTGCTCTAGTCCAAAGTAAAATGCTAAAGGCTTCATTAGCATTTTCAAAAAGTTAGCATTCCTCCAGTGGATTTTCACATGATCCGCTTGGTTCAGTCCATGAATCCTCTCTGCTCTGGTCTGGACCAGTGCAAAACCATGAACACTGAACTGCAGCAACATCTCTGGTAGCACAAAACTGCTTCAGAGCTACTAGGACTTGCTGTCGTTTTCCAGCGCAAAAGTAAACCATGTCATGTGGTTAGTCTTGCATACAGTATGTGCTATAATCTGATATAATGTTAGAATGTGCAATATGGGACCACACGTAAGTCAGTAATGTGTATTTATAGAGTGTATTTTACAGACCAATGTCACCCAGAGCGCTTCACAATGTTCAGAGTTCAGATATTGTTCCATTCTCTCCACACGGTGATGACCGAAGCCAGACGCCGAACACACCGGGCATCAAAAAAACCATCCCCAACCATTCACTCACTCATTGCATTCTGACCTATTGGACATGTTTTTAATGGAAGGGGAAACCGGAGCACCTTGAGGAAACCGGAGCAGACACGGGGAGAAACATGTGAACTCCACACAGAAAGGCTGGAGGTGGAATCGAACCCAGGACCTTCTTGCTGTGGAACACAAGCTCTAACCGCTGTACCCACATGAATCCACTGGTGGTTAGCACTCTCGCTTCTCAGCAAGAAGGTCCGAATCCCAGTCGGAACAGGGGCTTTTTGAGTGGAGTTTGCATGTTCTCCCCTTGTCTGCGTAGGTTTCCTCCAGGTGCTCCAGTTTCCCCTACCACTAATAATATCTACAATAGCTTAAATCCTCCAGCTCTGGTCCTGACCAAGCCGAGATTAGACAGTTACTATTTTATATTCTGCTTTCTTTTAAGTATAAAGTTTGATCTGCCACCTTGGTTGTTCTCCAGGTTTTGATTTGTCTTGAAGAGTACTGAAAAGAGCAATAACAAAAATAACGTAACTTGAGATAAAAAGGCTCTGTATAAAAAAATATCTTGATTGGACTCAACAGAAGTGTCTGCCTCACATACTCGGTGAATTATTAAATGTTTCTTATTATATTATGTGTCTTTGTAGATTTAAGGTCACTGTTACAGGACTTTACAGAGATGAAGGCAAACTTGTAAAACCAGAACAGAAACATAAGCTGACTCAGAATGCACTGCAGTGGCACATAACAGAAGCAAAACAAGAAGTAAAAACTACCGTCCACAAACATTGTCCACACCGGAGAACGGAGAGGACATGGCACAATACTATACAACTGTTAAAGAGAAAATCTCAGTCGCAAAAAATGTATTTATGATTACATACATTGGAGAAAAAATATAGTTTATTGATTTCTATATTAGTACCACAAAAGTAACAGGATTTCTGATCATTAACTGGACTGTAGATAGACTATAAATAGATTGACAATTCAATAATTTATGAAGTCTAAGAGAGATTACCCCTTTCGGCGCCTGTTTTTGAGATTTTTTGTGCGTGAAATTAAAGGATAGAGTGCTAAATTAGGAGTAAATGAACAATGGAGAAAAATTACACACACACACACACACGCACACACACACACACACACACACACAGAGTCCCTCGAAGAAGCAGCCTTTTTATCAGAGTTCTGTAAACCCACTCAGTCACATGAACCAACTCAATGTGTGATTGTTTTACACTGTCTCTTCATCCTATTGGTACGTTTTCAACAACTATTGCTCTTGTTACAGTCAAGACCACGTCAAGACACAGGACAAGGAACTGCACGATATCAGCAAAAAAAATATTAAACTGCATTTTCTCTGGCGAACTTTGCAACTTAAACCAAAAACAAACTTTAAAAATAGGAAAAAGACAGAAATATCAGAAACTACTGGGCTTAAAATAAGGTTTACTTGTTCACGAGGCAATCAAGCAAGAGCTCAGCAATAAGGTCCTGGGTTCGGATCCCGGTGGGAACAGAGCCTTTCTGAGTGGAGTTTGCATGTTCCCCCCATGTCTGCGTATGTTTCCTCCAGGTGCTCCGGTTTCCCCTACCACTAAAAACATGCACAATAGGCATGAATGTAATGAGAGAGTGAATGGATGGTGTTTGGTCGGAGGATTTGATGGACCAGTGTGTTCCGAGTCTCGCTTCCGTCATCACCGTGTGTGGAGAGAATGGAAAACTGAACTCTAAACTGCACTTTGCGTGACCTTGGTCTGTAAAATGCGCTATACAAATAAACAGCACTTACTTAATTACTTTTTGGGTCATTGTTCTATTATTATAGACTTAAAGTGCATTGTCGTTCATTCTTGGGAGACATTAATAATATTTTTAATAGTAATCAATGTGGAAGCCATTTAATAACATATCTATCTATATCTAACCCAAGCCAACTTTTTTACACCCTTAAAAGTATATCAATTACATAATATAGAGTGAAATATGGCTTATCATGTAAACAAACCTCTCCAGAGATATTATTTCAAACTCCTTACTTGTTGACCCAGTCTTTAGAGCAGCCTTGAACCAGGCAAAAACATTTCTGTGTGAATGTGGGAGTGAGTTCTGTGCAGTTAACCCCAACAGCTTCACACATTCCTAAGCAAATTTATTGTATTTTCTTTCTAATATTTTGGGTAATTTGATAAGTTTGATTCATGTTTCAGCCCTATAGCCACACGGAAAGGGCTTAAAAGTTACAGTTAATGATACAGACGAGAACTAAAACGAGTGAATAGACCATTACATTATAAAATCTTAATTCAAATTCAGAATAAATGTGTGAAGATGTCATGAAAAACAGAGGTCAAACTCTGTCTCATAAAAATCCAAAGTACTGCAATGATCTCGCACTTGAATCGAAACTGTTTTTTTGTACTTTTTCAGCTTTTTTCATTTCAGATATTTGCTGGTGCAGACTTTATCACATGTATTCCAATGAGGTTTTTACTGCAAATGGCAAAAACAATAAATCTGAATCTAGAGATCCAGAACAAGAAGGAAGTTTAAGACCGAGCAAAACAAAGTATTCACAGGATGTTCCTCAAGAGCATCCTTTGTGCGTTTTCTCCTGATGCTGATCTGAGACACACGCAAAGGTTAACTCAGCCGCAATCAGAGTAAGTGAATTAGTATCTGGTCTCTATGAAAAAGGGCTCTCCATAAGGGGTAAACGCATACATGAGGGTAATAAGGCAGATCTAAACTCCATAGCAGTCTACAAATACACATTGTGTTTGTGTGCAGCAGTAGCATTTAAAGCTGGGCTCCCTAACTTTACCTACAATGTTGTTAACAAATCAGACCAATCAGACTCATTGAATTGTATCCAATCTTTCTCTTTTTTTTGTTTTTCCCCCCAGGCTTTTTAACAGCAAAACAATGCCCTGGCTAAGAATAAAGTTTAGTGCAGACAGGGAGAATGTTGTCCCGAGAGATCCTTTGTTCCTTGGGTTGAAAGAATGTACAACAAATCTGTCTGAGTTAAACATGTGTGCTTTGTTTACTTTTGTTAGTCACTTTTAGACTCATGTATGTGCTGTTGTTTGTATGTGGATGGATGTGATACTGCTGCTAACCCCTGCATTTTATCCCACGGTGGGATCAATAAAGTATGTATCTATCTCTTTCTATCCTCTCCTTTGTATGAGATAAGCATGTGTCGCTTATTTACTATTGTTAGTCACTTGTAGACTCCTGTGTGTGTGTATGTTTGTATGAATGTGTTTCTGAATGTCTGATACAGGGGAAAAAATAAAGTATGTATCTTTCTCTCTCTATATTCCCCTTTGCCTGAGATAAACATGTGGACTTTACTATTGTTAGTCACTTTTAGACTTGTGTATGTTTGTATGAAATGGATGTGTTTCTGAATGTCTTGTATTGGAGAATCAATAAAAAATATAAATCTGTCTCTCTCTTTATTCCCCTGTCTGTAAACATGTGGACTTTATTATTACTAACTTTTAGACTTTTGTATGTGTGTGTGTTTGTATGAAATTAATGTGTTTCTTGGAAAATTTCTCTCTATATATTCCCCTTTGTCTGAAATAAACATGTGCACTGTATTAGTAACTTTTAGACGTATTTGTGTGTGGATAGATGCGTTTCTGTTGCTGGACACCTGAATGTCTTGAACATTTTGGAATCAATAAAGTATATTTCTATCTCTCTCTATCTTCTCCTGTATCTCTCAGCGCACTGCGACTGCAATGGGGGCAAAACAATGTATACATATATTATTAAATAAACCATTTCAGGGACTCACCTTGAACACATCTCCATAGGTGCCACAGCCGATGCGGTGGATCAGCTCGTAATCATCCAAAGGGTCCAGAAAAGACACCCCTATCCTGTCCATGTCTCTCAAGACGCGCACATACAGGTCCGGGCTTCACTTCATGGTCCCAGCTGCAGTCGCGTATAGTGTGTAGTGTGTGGCAAAAAGACGTAGAAAATGAAGTTATTGTTTTTGTAGTATCAGTACGACACAACAGAAAGCATGCACAGAGGTTGCAGATCCCACTCTGATCTGAACTGGCGCTGTACAGCACCAGGACCAGGGCGCATGAGCAGAGACGCCTCCCACACTGTCAGAAATGCGCTCATCGTCCACTGATCGCTGGTTTGGCTCTGGCTGTGGCGCTGGCTGCAGGTGAAGGGAACAAAGCAACAATGGCCTCTGGCTCCGAGAATGCTGCGTGTCTGTAACAGGCTAAAACGAGTCATTTTCACACAGGCGTCAATGTCAGCTGTGGTCTGTTTGATGAGAGATGCAGATGGAAAACTCAAAAAAGACGCGTGTTGTTGCAATTTGTCTTTTTACATTATGGCAAATCTATATTCATCAAGAGATTTTGTATTCATGCCAGAGTGTCACAGATGTCACATGTTAGAAGCATGAGGCTCTGGGTTAAAAGTGAAGTAACAGTGGTCCCATGTTGCAGATGTTTCTGTCCCAATTTTTTTACATTTTTGCAAATAACTAAACGTCTTAAACTCAAATGAGCCACTCCCAGAAGCTGCTGTCACTGTCACATCTTTCTGTGAAATTGCAAAACTCCCAGTGACACTTTATTTTCAGCAGTATTTCTATGTGCAGGTCTTTCTCTTAGTGAAATACCAGCATTAAGTAACACTTGTCCTTCTGTTGAGGCGGAGAGGAAACCTAACAAACAAATCCAGAAACAAAACGTATTTTAAATCAGACCTTTATTTCTTGCAGATACAAAATCAAGAATACGAGTCAGGCAGTACCCCCTATTGTGACCCTTTTTCAACAGTGCATGGTCTTCCAATGTTTTTGTTTCAATTTCTCTGTCGTAAGAAACAGGCCGAACTAGCAATTGTCAAAACTAGAGGCCGCCTACTTAAAATAACAAATGAAGTAAGGCAACAAAGAGCTATAGCAGAAAGAAGCTGTCGTGGAACAGAAGTGGACAATGTTACACAGTAACTAATCTAAATCAATCACTTCCAAGGCTTCAGTTGTCCACACATCTCAGTACAAACTGATATTTACACAACTGACAGGGGAATGCTGGCTTCAGTCCTCAACCTCTTCACTTCAGACACATGGAATAAAACAAAAACTGAAAGATGTGCAATTGGCTGCCAATTAAATAAAATACCAGTTTTGCCATTTCTAGGGCTGCACATTAGAGCTTAAATACTAATCTATTCAAATCTTGTAAAACAAATTATTATTATTTTTGCCTGACATTATTTTTGCCTGACATTTACCCCATCCAGATCTCCAAAGGCTTCCACCCAGAATGTAGTAGAAAATGTAAATAACTTCTTTCAAGTCAATTCAGCATTTAGTCCAAATTTACTCAACAAATAAATCACATATTCAAAAACTAAATGTAATACAATCATTAAAACGAAATTGATTTCATATTGAGCAGCCCTAACTATACCACCAGTAAAAGAGGCACATGTCCAGGAAGAGAATCCCTGGCCACTGTGGAACATAAAGTTGATCTGCAGATCTATTGCTAGTAAGAACGTTGAATGAAATGTTGAAAACACTGACAAAGTTTGCAGAACAGAGTGAGGCAACTCGGGAGCAGAGTCTAGAGAGATTTGCGCTGGCGTTTTAGAAAGGACATGGAGTAGTCCCCTGCGGCGGTGCTCTTCTGCCTCTTCATCTGCACCTGCGACTGCGCTGTCAGCTGCAGCTTGATGGCGCTAGAGTTCACCTTGGCCGCACACAGCAGCCCCTTCATGCCCTTCATCTTCTCGCTCTGGAAAACCACCACGGGCCTGGGGCAGGACCCTGGGGGGCTCTGCTGCTGATGTGGTGGGGGTGGGAGGGGGGAGTGGGTTGGCTCAGGGCTGGGGGACTTGGGTTTTCCTTCACTGTCTCCGGAGCGGACGCCCAGGGACGAGCGCCGTCGACCTGCTCCCTCTGCCACCTTCTTGGGCTGGGCCGTGGGAGCGGGAGGGGGCGGGGGAGAGGTGGGGGGAGCGGGTGGAGGGGAGGCGCCGGGTTCATCCAGTTTGGTTTCTCGACGGGGGACGCGTCGGCGGCCCTCTCCGGGGTTGTCGCTGGACTGGTCGTCTTCCTCCTGAGACTCCACCTCTTTCACGACTATGGACACCTTCTGCCGCACCTACCGTCAAATACAGTAAGTAAAGTTTATTTATATAGACCTACCGTCAAATACAGCAAGTCATCTCAATAATTATACAAGTTCCAGCAAAGTTTAGAAAGTTCCAGTCAAAGCAAAAACACTGGAGTTTCTCTCTGTATAACAGCAGCTGCACTTAAAATTATTATAATCGCCTAGCAACAACACTGGTTTAGCAGCATGATCAAAGCTATATTTGAAGAGTCTTTGCATGTTTAGAGCTTGCATTCTCTTTTAAGATTTCAAAAGCGGGTAACATTCACTTCAATAGTAATTTAATATGATGCACGGCAAAAAATGATCGAATATGAGGCGATAATTGCTGGAATCAAGTGGTTTCTCTCTTAATTAACATTTTGACTGTCTGTAAACAAGATTTGCCAAAGGGACAAAGCCATTTAGTTGATTCAAGAACTGTTGCTTTATTTTCTCATTCCAAGGGAGACATTTATTGTATCTTTTGAAAACAAGATCATTTTGCTTTGTCCCACAGGAAGATCATGTTTTAAAGCAGTCAAAATGTGCTCAAATGAAGATACATTTAGCAAAGTTTGAGCAATTTTTTACTTATTTTCTATCACTTTTCTCAGTGCAGTACTTCTGTATGACCTTTGTTGTAACTTTCTTCCTCCACGTTTCTCGAGTTCAAAGGCAGTGTGTGTTTCTGTTCAGTCACCTGAGCTTCAAAGCGGCTGAGAGACTGCACCAGGTAAGTGGCCCAGCCCACATGAAGGACCGGAGTGGGGCTGCCCTCCTCCCACTTACAGATGCCGTCATAGAAGCGCAGCAGGTGTGCGAAGCATTCAGAGTCCTGCAGGGCCGTCTCCTGCTTTTCCTAAACAGGGAACAGAAAATACTGAGTGTAGGGCACGAAGACAGGGAAGCAGATTCATATGATGCTTTGTATATTAGTGCACAAGCCAAACAACAAATATAGATTTAGTATGTACCAGGGGTGAGCAATTATTATGAGGGACATTGGAATAACAATATATTGTGGAGAGTTGGACCCGTTTTCATGCCGTTACTATTCATTTAATTTGGAACATGCTATTCTATCTTTATTTATTTACAAAGAATTCACACATACTGATTTCTAAAGATTGTGAGGGTTTTGTAAAAGGGAACTCCCAGGAAGGTGCATTAGTAAAACAAATATAATTTATACCTTTGTAAATTCCTAAACCAAGTTCTAAACAAACATGTTTGAGTGTGAGCTACTTCAGTTATAAAAAAAAATGTGTGTATTTAAAAAGACAGAAGAGATGGAGAGGGAAACCGGAAGAAACCTATGTTGTCTTTGTGTAAAGTGTGTTAGCTTATCTTTAGCATCTGCAGCTATAGTTTTGTTTTAACATTTTACGATATGGGAGGTGTCCATAGATTTTAATTTTTGCTTGGATTGAACCAAAGCTGGGCCAAAGCTAAAGAATTCTAAGTATTGTGGACACATTTCCTATGCAAATCTGTATCTATGTGTTTTTGTTCTTTGGTTCTTTGTTATTATCCTTTATATGTTTTGTAATTCATTTGAAGTTTCCCCACTTTAGGACAAATAAAGGACCTCTTAATTTTAATTTCCCCATTGAGCTTACATGTCATTGTGTGTGTGAGTGAGGATGCATGTGTAAAGAAATGTATAAGAGCCTGTAATGATTTTTGAGGAGAGCCCAGGAAGAATGGGGATCTTAATAAACAACAATAACAACAGTATGAAGTTTGCCGATGGGAACAGGTCTTCGCCCAGGTCTGGTCTATACAGTAACACGTTCTAGCTTCATCTCCTCTAACCTGGTCGGCCACATCCCCTGCGTCAGCCCCCTCTGCTGCGCTCTCAGTCGCCGTCTCCTTGAGCAGGTTGGGGATGACGTCGTTGGCGATGTCGAAGAACTCTTTATAGATCTCTTCGTCTTCACGGAAATAGTTATACCTGCGGGGCACATATGACAGGACCTCTGAGTAATGACCAGACAGAGCGCAGAGCCTTCACAACTTTTTGTGATTTATAGTCGGGCAAAGTGCAGCTCGGCCTCAAATGTGAATAATGCAACGACGCAGAGGGAATGTAGGGTTGTGACGAGGTTAAATAATAAAAAGCAGGTTACACACTAAGACAAACATAAAGGCGATTGTGTAGAAACAGGACCGGAGGGCGCAGGAAAAGGAAGCTCCAAGCCGTGCCGGGAAAGCGTCTTTGAGTCAGACACGATATATTTTTAGTGTTGTTCATGAACATTGTGTTGAATAGAGGCGAGGGGGGTCGGGAAGCCATACAGGGCACTTAATGTGGCATCTGTAAACTAAATATAGCAGAAAGTCATAATTTGTACAATATTACAACACTATTATAACATTTCAGAGCAGCTGATAGTCATAGTTGAATATGTAAATGTGTAAATACTGCCACCTGGTGTCAGTAGTATAAATGTGCAGTTAGTGTGACATAGTGACTGTATTCAAAATAATATTGAGCAAATATGTTAAGAATCTTCTCTTACATTTTATTAGTTGACAGTTGTTTTTATTGGGCGAATTGATGTAAGCAGTAGTTGAAAGAATTACTAGTTGTGCAAAGAAAATTACTAAACAATTTTTCTCTGTATCCAATGTATTAAAGGCATGTATTGATTTTCAGCAGAGATAGGACAGAATGACTCACTCCTGCATGACCTGGGCCGCTTCAGACCAAGCTTTCAAAGCCTCGCGTACATTCCTGTGTCTGTAGTGGAACCCAGCCAAGTACATGTACGGGTAAATGTGCTCGTTGTTATAGTACTTCTGGGAAGAGCTCACAGCCTGGAAAACAGACAATCCTTATTTCTCAGAGTCATGGTGAATGCAAGCTCTTCAGAAAGGCTGAAGTGTCTGAGTACCTTGAGGTGAATATTTAAGGGGTTGTCCTTTCCTGGGATAGGGTCCTGATCTTCCAGGTCTGCTAGTGTACCCATGGCCATGGGATATCTGGAATAAACATCCCATTTAGGGTTATTTATAAAATATATTCATCTACTGTAGATACCTGGTGATGTTTAACTTACCGGTCTAAGTAACCTCTATCATACAGCAGCCAGAGCAGTTTCTAAGCACAAAAGACAGATGAATTTAGCAATTGTTTAGAATTAGTTATTGTACACTACATTGAAGATGAACTCTTTACCTGCTGTAGTCGTAGCAGCTCAGAGCTGTCAGTGTGCAGGTCCAGTGAGGGGTTAATGGCACAAACCATGAAGGCCACTTCCATGTTTCTATCACATTTCATGTAGGAGCCCTTTAAATACAGCCAGCTCTGTGCCAAAGAAAACACACAAGTTCAAAGATCTGTTTTATGACATGTGAACCTCCTGATTCAATATTTGAGAGGTTACCTTCTCATTGACACCTGCTTTTACAGTTTGTCCTCTGCGGTCTTCATTCCCCTTTCCGTGCCACGTCACCTCTGCCGTCTCCTCACCGTTTTTCCCAAAAATTACCCATGCGTGATCTTCTGACAAAGCCAAATGGACATCCTTCAAACCAAGAACCTGACAAGCTGCAACCACAGCAAATGCAACTCCAGAGCTGTCCAGTTTTGTACCTGATTTAAAAATTAAAAATAATAATTTACACCTTTAATGAACAGTTTACATATGCAGAATGAAACTGACGACTCATACCAGTGATAAGACTGAAGAGTGACTGAATGTGGGCACGGTCTTTGAAATACGATCGACTTAGACTGTTCCATATGACGTCCGACACCTTCTTCACCAACTCTCGGCTGGATCCTGCAGCGGTCCTCCTGTACTGGGACAGGTCCACAGCGCCTCGGATCTGAGCAGAGAAGCGCTCGTACAGGGCTGAGATCATTCTCAGCTCCACGGTGGGAAAGCACGAGCTGGGACAGTCTGGTTCTAGGGGTTCAAAGCGAACTCCTGGTACATTTATTGGAACAACTCTATTCACAGCCAAGAAGTGTTCTACAAAGCCCAAGACCAGAGAGAGAAGGGCCAAGTCCGGCTCAGACTTTGAGAGCTCATATTCAAATAACTGGACAACTCCATCAATTCCACGCAAAGGAAAGTGTTTCTTTTGGGCTGAGTTCAAACCCATATTTGCTATCAGTCACGTGTCCCAAAGAGTCTTGTAATCTTCCCCTGTAGGAGGCAATCCCAGTACAAAATCAATATTCAGAGCAAAAGACACAACAAAACATTAACATGTAAATATTTGAATTTGTCTATTGTCATATTACAGTATTAGTTATATAGTTATCTATAAGTAATATAAAATTGTCCATAAATCAAACAAAATAGTATAGACACATTAATAGTTTAGTTATTAATGTAAAGAGGTAAGACCTATAATATTAAAACGAAAAGGGATGCCATTGTCCATTACATAGTGATGTGGCATATTTGTGACCAATACGCCACATTTTGATGAAGTACGTTATTAGTTCATTTAGAAATAATTGACAATTAAAAAGTGATCCCTAACCCAGACAGTGAGCAAGCAGCCTGGTTGCGTAATGGTTACATCAATGCTTTGGATATAGGGCTTGTGTTAGTTCTATGGCGCTGAGGTGGGCGGGGCACTTCTATAGCTGACTGCGTACATTCAAGATCCACATTGACCAAGGCTTTACTCACAGACAATAACCACTTAAACAACACATTTGCACCATTAACGGGTTACATCTAATGCTATTTGAATTGTTTATAATATTTTCTAAGGTTATTTATATGACTCTTATATATCAACCAAATTCAATAATATTCTGTAGAAATATAAGTCTTTACGGTTTCGTCGAGGTTTTGGTAAATTAATAAGAGATGAGCGAGATTAATAGTGAGACGAAATGTGCTGAAAAGACCCAGAGTACACATTGAATGGAGGCTAGGGTCAGCTGCCGCTAATAAGCTAACGGAGTGCTAGTTAGCTCCACACATCACTTTAGGCTCGCGCTTTACATCCTACATCTTTGTAAAGATCGTATACTGACGCCTTGGTTGGAGACGAACTCGAGAGCTATTACCGGCTCAACATTTGGCTTGAAAATGGAAAAGTACATACCCGTATATTCACATCCTCACGCACATGTTTTTGTTTGTTTCCCCTGCTTTTGCCGCGCACTCCAGTCTGCCAGGCTCTTTGACGTACGCTACGAGCCCCCAAGTTTCCGCCACACCGCAGATCTACAACGCATCCGGAGCACGCGCAGACCGTAAGCACCAGGAGAAACTTCCGCAACCAGTCACATGGAGATCAAACAGTCTACCACTCTGCTTCCTTCGTGGCATGCTGGGAGTTGTAGTTTTACATCATGTTTCATCATTTGTTCTTCGCAAATGTAATCGATAGAGAGCGCTGCGGTGCTGCGAACATGTGCAGGATAAACGAAAGGTAACTTGCATAATGGAAACTCAAACAGCTGTAGTATGACGTCTATAAGTATGACCTAGGACCTAGATTGTCTATGAGTATGACATGCCAACACACATGTTAACATAGTATCTACACACTTAAGTTCAAATACATGTAATCTAATGGATTTTTTTTCTTCCTATTCACGTACCAGTGGTTGAATGTTGACATATATACAACACAGTTTTATACGTTTAATGCATGGTTTTATGGCAAGGGTCTGTCTGGCTTCAAGAATATTCCTAGTGTTACCTTTACTTGTTCTATGTTGAGATAAAACGCACATCGAATACTTTTTATTATAAAAAAAAAAACAAAAAAAAAAAAACTCTCAAATAATAGATACAAATGTGTCCGAATATTTTACTCGTGTCTTAAAATAACAGTGCTGGCGTTATATTTAAAACACCCCTTCGTTGATATTTGAAATTACCAGAGTTTTGTGTTTTCTTATTTGCAGAGTGGGCCGTGAACGCCTCTCGGCCGCCATGATTCCCCTCCTCCAGAGCCTTCCTCCATCTCTGCTCAGTGTGCTCGGACTGTGCGTGTAGCTGCGGAGCCAGGTCCTGCTCTTGGGGAAATATCGGATAGTCGCTCGAGTTAACGCGTTCAGTGGACATTCAACGCCAAAACAAGACCAGAACACTTCACTACACCAGTGCAGTTTGGTTTGAAGCGACAGTAAAATGGACCCGATGAATCAATCCGCCCAGATATCTTCGTCGCAGGGGATTGCCGATGGACACAATTCCGCTGCCAAAGACTCAAAGATTTCAAGTAAGAATATTTACAAACTTGATATATCTCTACAGATAATTTTATTATCCTGTTGTCAGGTAAATCTCGTCGGCGTATTCGTTTCCCCGTGTAAATCTTGACTGGTGGCCTGTAGCCTACATCATCACGTTGGTTAAGCCATTTTAGCCAATATAGCAAACACCTGTGGTGGTTGACATGCAGACGAGCTACTCTTACGTGTGCTCTGTGATCAATCCTGACACTTTTGAATTCAGACTTATTTCAATTTAATTGATAGTATCTTTTCCCATATATTACACCATAGTACATCTTGCATCATCCAACATATGGTGACTGAAAGCTCTTATCACTTAACAGTTTTAAACTAATACGTACATAACATTTTGGCCTGTGTTTACTATATCTAGGCTGGACAGGCATGCTTTTCAGCGTGTATATAGCCTTAACTACGTTTGTTTTTCAAGATGAATGTATCCACCTTATTACACTTTATTCACTTATTGTCTGTAACACACGAATTTGTGAAATTATTCCAAGAACTGATTGTTACAGCGCTGCACTGCAGATAGATCGTTACTGGGCTGAAGCCAACATAGGGAGGTCTCTTAAAGGCGCCCTGCCCGTTTGTGGTGGTGTTTTTAAAATGGTACCACCTCCCTGGACAAAAGCCTAAACGTAATGCACAATACTTCTTGTTTATTTCCCCCAAACGTGACCAATAATACCCGCTCAGGTTAGCATCCATACAGACAGGTGCATTGCTAACAAAGAGAGGTGCCAGACTGATGCTGGGGCCTCTTGACAGCTCATTGTGTTTCAGGCAGGGAGTGGCATCTCCAGCATCATGCCGCCGTGTTGTTGTACCCCGTCTGATTCTACTCAGACTCATTTGGAAGTCCAGTTATGAGAAAAGGCTTTGAAGAAAATGCATGTGATTCGGATTATTTTTGAGCTGCATTATAACATTAGTATCCTGCTGTATATTATCCTTCCGCTGTGAAACAAAATATAACGTCACATGTAAATGACAAACGACGTAAATGAGATGATTGCATATTGGGGTTTTTATAGCTACCTGCCGTCAATAATTAGTTATTTTGAATATTTTAGCAAATTATTCTTAAAATGAAGAATTCCCAGTTCCCAGACAAATTTAGAAATAATACATTTTGAAGAGGTGTGTTTAGTTCATGAAGCTTTGCTGAGTCACCAAAACAAGCCCCTGTCTAAACACACCAATCAGGATACAATTTCATGAAGAATATTGATTATAATGAAATGCGCAGTAATGATTAGCATCTTTTTGCCCTCTGAAGGTAGATGACCTGCTGGATGTGTTCACTTTATTCTTTTGTTGTTAAATGAACCTTTATTTTGAAATTGATCTTGGGTATTATGTGGTGCACAAAGCGGCTGCTGTGACCCAACCCCCCCATGTTATCAGATACACTTGTTCTGACTGGGCAGCTGCACAGCACACAAGCATTAACACACCCCTTTTGATTGATACTTGGGCTTTAACACTTGTGAGGCACATGAGCTTAAGTTATTATTGTCAACTTCACTTTTTTGAAGAATACAAACTTCACCATGTAATCCCTAGACATTCACAATAAAATGTGTACTTTGGAAAAGTTCAAAGAAGACTTTTTTTCAGTAGCTTTCAGTAGACTTCAAAATAGATCTAACCTCATCTATTCTTTGATGATGGCCTTGTATACGTTTTCTCCACTAGCTGACTATCATTGTAGACTTGTAATTGCAGAATTTGTATAATAATTGTGTAAATGTTCAGCAAGCGTTAAAAATTCTAAGCACTTAGTTTTTTACGGTGACGTCATGCCTTGCCTCTGTTTCTGTCTTTTTTTAACTGATCAGTCACTGACACCAGTCACAGAGGAAGTGTCACACTTTGAAGCGAGGACCTCATTACATGGACCACGTTGTTGCTAAATGCCACTGGAAGGAGTGTAGTTTTTTCTTTTCTAGCCTGTGGACTTTTTGTGCATTCTTTCAAAAGGGAAAGCATGAGGTTGGGGTAATAGTAAGTAAGTAAGTTTTTATTTATATACCGCCTTTTCACAGCAGATCTGAGTCTCAAAGCGGTTTACAATTGTTAATTTTGGGCATTTGTCTCTCACTCCACACAGAGATGGGAGCGGGGTCGCCAGTACAGGAAGCGCATGCCAGAACTATTGGACATATTTTTAGTGGTAGGGGAAACCGGAGTACCCGGAGGAAACCTACGCAGACACGGGGAGAACATGCAAACTCCACTCAGAAAGGCCCTGGTCCGACCGGGATTCGAACCCAGGACCTTCTTGCTGAGAGGCGAGAGTGCTATCCACTCAGCCACCGTGCCGCCCGTAATGTTGTCGAACAGTGGAGCTCAGGGCTGCACCTCCATGAACTATTCTGATTAACCTTTACATGACGGCAGGCCACAGTCCCACAATGCACCATTTTCAAAAGCGCTGACAACCTTTTGGCACTTCCTAATTGTTGCAGTAATTGTGTTCCAGTTTCTCCCGTAACCTAAAGGTACTGCAGAGTGCATTAGGACATTTTCAACAGTTGACTCACTCCTCCACATCAGGGAGCTCTGCCCGTTCTCTTTAGAATCAAGCTTTAATAGACGACTACAGCCACTGTCACAACCACAGCCATTGATTGCACTCAGCCCTGGGGCCATGAACATTTAGTGATGGACTGGGCAGAACTGCACACACTCAGGATATCACAACATGAAATGGCCTGCTCTTTTCCAGCGCTTGTCTGGGCCAGTTAAAAGCAGCCATTTTCATCAAAACTGCTCCAGGTTGCAACATGCTTTGGCAGTATTTTGATCATTTTTGCCCTGTGTGTATGTATGTGTTTTTATTCCTTTTTTATAATACTAATAAAACACACACCTGCAACACATCTCCTCTGAAAGGACTCTATACACTGCACACCCCATCTTTGTCCCGTGTTGAAATGTCGTGTCAACCCCGGCCAACACGGTGGGAGGTGTGTTGTTTTGGCCCATGTCAGCTTTTTTCCTTTTTATGGGGGAGACTGAAACATGTCAATAAAAGGGTTACAACAAACTCCTGACTATCAAAGTAAGTATTTTACAGTCACAGCACAATCACCCCACATTTCAAAGGCTTAGGACAAGTTATCAATGTAGAGCACAGACCTCCCTTACTTAAATCTTGCATCCAGACACTGATTCAATTCAACTCTAATATGTGATATGTTGTTTTCGGGGCTATTGTGCACATTATTTTTTGACTATTTTGTCTAAATCAAGAAGTGTTTGAGTTATGTTGCTCACAAACAAACGCCAATGATCACTTCACCTCCTGGGTGAAGGTAAAGAACGGTCAGTGGCACAACAATCCAAACTTTGATGGTAAGAAATTCACTCTTGTTATGTCGTTGTTATGCAGTATTAATATTGTCTCTGATGTGAGTAGTTTGTTAGCAACGGGCTATAAAACAGTTTGGTTTTATTGCTCTGTAAATTACTACTATTTGGTCTGAGTGTTCACCCAGAAAGTCTACCTGGCCAGGTGGGCTAGATGGCGAGTCGTTTAGATGCGCCAGTCCGTGTCACTCGGTGTGTAAGGAAGAGGGTTTTTTGAATAAAAACCCGAGTTTAGGGGTTCTAAGCATTTGAATGGTGGTTGCTATGAAGAGGGGAGGAATCTATCATTATATTTATACCTACAGACATTCACATGATTTTGTTTTTTAACCGGTTTCTTTTTTAAAGGTTTTTTCCAATCTTCTGTTGAATTAAAGTATATAACCCGTGATTTGCATTGCCTTCTGCGGTGCTCCTCCTCCTACTCCCTGGCATCAGATCAGTCCATGAAAGTTGTCAGACCTCTATTGTGGTCAAAGAGCGAAGGTGTGGCATTTGTCGAGTCAGTCGTGTGAATGTGTGTGGAGGAATGTGGTGGAACGAGGGTACGGCATTCCCAACCTGCCTGGCCTGTACCTGTTCTCGAGGGCTCATCCAGCAGAGGCCTCCCTGTCACACCCTAAGCCTGGTTCACACGAGACGATTTTAAAATTGTCGGCCGATTTTTCTCTGTGTGAGACCCCACACAGGGAGATAAAAAAATCACGGGTCTAACCACTTTGGTCGTACAGTGTGTGGTGCGCAGCCACACGGCAAAAATCACGCAAACCACACACGAACCGACCCCCCCCCCCCCCCCTCCCGAGTATTCACAGATCAGACGAAAATCTCAGGTCTCGCGAGATCAAGCGTGACTTCAGAGTAAACACACATGGCGGACGAAGAGGATGCATTCAATGGCGATAGTTTGTTTTTATCGGAGAAAAGACGTAATCAAAAGAAAAGGCGATGGTCAAAGAAGTGTAGACAACACGAGCACGGACTATACTTTCTACATCGTGATATGGAGGCGTTTCCTCACCGCCTCGTCTCGTCTTCTGATTGGCTACACGCCGCAGTCATGGCAACGCGCACGTCTGTCCTCGGGGGACACCACACACGAAGAGAAATCGGGCCAAAACAATCCAACATGTTGGATATCCCCGATTTGAGATCGCGAGCAGTCCCGATGTCCTTCCGAGCGACGAGTGCAGTCTTAACACACCACACACGGCAGGATAATCTGTAAGATTTTGTTACGGAAATCGGAGCGTTTCTTAAGATTGTCGTAAGGGGTAAATCGGGTCTAAATCGGCCTAAATATCCTGCCGTGTGAACCAGGCTTTACTCTAAACCTGGTCATGATCCACTGAACTCACTGGGTCACTACCTTCATCTATTCTATACGCTGGATCGTCACATTTCCCAAGCGGGTTAAAACATTCTTTTTCTTTGTCATATCTCAGAAGGCAGTGAGATCAATCTTTACATCATTAACTGTAGCCAAAACACACAATACAGACACACATATGAACTTCAATGTTTCCAGTCCAGTATCCAATCACTTTGACAACAGTCGGGGCTCTTTCTGTGATTTGTCTTTTCCATTTGTCTTCTATTCTGTCAG